AAAGACGAAGGTGGATTCAGCGAAAGCTGGTAACTCAGCGAAAAAGAAACGAGTTGAGGAGGTCATGGATTTGGGGCAAGGTGATTATCAATTGTCTGGCACAGATAGAATATTAACTGATATAGCGATGGTGCCACCCATTCTCATGGCGGGGATAAAGTCAACCGGTTATAAATCCAAAAGGAGTGACCGCACTCTGACTGGAGCAACCTTAGAAATGGAAATACTCAGCCAATGTGGAGAGAGCAAAATGAAAGACTTCAAGCCATCTCCCATGAATCATGGAAAGGGAAGTGTCGCAGGACAACTAACACCAGTGGAATACAACCGACTGACAGTGTCGGAGACTGTGTCGATAGATGAACCCACCGGTGGATACATGGAGATGTTGGAATACCGAAACTCGGCTAGAGGGTATGTAATGGCCCTGGAAGACGAAAAAGCCATGGAGGGTTATCTGGAAACGATGTTGCAAGGCACCACCCTCAAGCAGAAGGCGTACGGGACTTTGGCGTCGTCTGACATACAGGCGGAAACGATCGAGCAGTTAGTGAGCCTTCCATGGAAAGCAGTAGTGTTGAGGTATTTCGAAGAAGAAATGAGGACTACGCTAAGAATACATGCTCTCGTGGCAGTACCTTACGTAAGAACAGAGTTGCAACTCAGGTTCGCCTGGTGCATGATGGGACTGACTCGCGAAGAATATGACTCAGAAGAAAGGAAGAGATCAAAAGAGGAAAAGGTTTTCCTTATGACGAACCTGAGGGATCTGATAGTCCAGGAGGGAGCAGCAGTAGCGTGTGCGAAGCGGAGAAACGCTCTATGTTTCATTCGATTCCTGATAGAGCAGATTTCAGTACCTGCATTAAACACTTGTGTTAAAATGTTGAGGGAAGGTGATGAGCGAACGAAAGCCTTATTCTTGCTAGCACTGCTGGATATGCAGCAAAGTAAACCGATGAGGGTGAACATGAAAGAATCTGAGGAGTTGGAACCCATGAAAAAGATAGACGAAATCAGGAGATTCTCAAACAAGGAGCTGAGACTCACTAAAGAATCTATGGGAGCATTGCCGAAATCCAGTGAATATTGTGGACCGATCAAGAAGAAATCGTATGGCTACGTATCCGGGATCATAGGGATTGCGTACAATCCTTTCCTGAGTGAAGACATACGCGATTGCTTCTTCGATTATGAGCAGGCGGTGTTGCTAAGATTTTGGACGTCCAGAATTGTAACGATTAAGAGCGTTAACAATCCACAGGCTGATTTGGGACTGGTCTTGGAAGAAGAGGTGACTGCACTTTCAGTACCAAAATCCGACAAAAGAGTGGAGTTTGGGTTGGGATTCTCAGATGAATTACTGAGAACGAGCTTGATGACAGTGTGGGAATTGATGAGGCCATGATGGTGTCCTAGTCCCAACGCTGACTCAATATTACGGGCGACACAAAACGTACAGAGGGAACTGAATGCAGACTGTAACCTGCGTGACCTCAACATCATATGTAATGTGATGATAACAGCCTCTAAGAGCAACGGAGAAGATAAAGTGGAGTTGCCTGGCTGGGGACCAGAAGACTGGGTCAAACCTGGTAGCTGTCTGGCGGAAGTCTGTGGACTGCAGGGTCACGTTTGTGGAGGTTTGGATTGTGTGAAGACCCTGGAGAAACAACACAAGCAATTGACGGTATTGTTTGGAAATGTAGTGATGAAAGCTAGAACAGAAACAGAACTGATAGCAGATTGCCATGGAGGAACCGATGTGAATCTAGTGACTGCACTAGGATTCTACAGCATGTTTGGTTCTTTAGAGTCACTATTGAATCTAGAACAGAAACATGAGATGGTCACAGCCATCAGTGTAGAAGTTTTCCCAGGAGTTCTGCAGACTGAGCAGAAATACATAGGAAAATAGAGGGAAGCAATCGAGACGGAAATGAACATCAGACACAGCGAGACTTATTGTAGACCATCAGGAGCACGATATTTAGTGGGTTCAACGTTGGCTCCAATGTGCAAGAGCAGATACCCTGTACATTTCGTGGCTGTGGACGTGAAGAGTACAAGAACGATCGTGGATCAAGCCTTCTCAGTGCCGAAGTGTGTGAGATTGGCGAGAATGTCTGAAAAGTCTTACGAGTTACTATGTAAGATGTTCTCAGCAGTTCCGGAGAGAACCAAAGAAGAATTGGAGTCAATACTAGGAAAGAAGTTCATGGGATATGTGAGTGGGAACTTCAGTGACTTTGAGAGACAGAAACAGAGAGGATCAACTGTCACAGATTACAATGCAGTAGATGAGAATGATGAAGTCCACCGAGTGATGATGGAAGTGGAACCATTGCTGGAAGCTTCGGGAAAACTTAATTGGAGGAGCATCATGTTGACGCATGACGAGTTTCCTTGCCACTGCTTGCTGCAGACCTGGTGGTATCCCAAGCGTAGTAATCTGATGTTGATCTGGGACTCTGGAGAGCTGCTCTCCATGGGTTTACCAGATTCATCACAGCCCGTAACGATAGTGATAGTGGGAGTTATGATGGCGATACGATGGCTGGAAGCTCTTGTGAGAGAAAATAACAGACAGGAGGCACCGACGAGAGAACAGTTGCGGAAATTAGATTGTCTAAAGGATTTAGATCTTTTTGAGACAATGTGCAAAATTCTAAATATTCCGATGGAAGTGAAGAAGATATGGGCAAGAAAACGATTGATGCCATGGTTCAGAGCTAACATGACTGCATGGTTGTACGAGTATGCGAAAAAGCATATGTCGAAGCATGGCAGGGTGTACAGTGAATATCAGCTGGACATTGGAGCAGGAGCTTTCAAGCGAGCTCTCGTGACTCATCGGAATGCAGTGACCACCGCTGTGAAAATAATTTCCAGGACAAGTGAGCGTAGTGGAAAGGAGAAGGCAGAGATGCTTAAAGAAGATTTGGAGAGAAACGTGACGTTGTCTCTCCACAACAGCTTCTGCAGGAACAGAGAATCTAACGTGGATCCCCTAACTTGTTGTAAACAGAGGGTGGAAGAGCAGAAGTGTTGGAGGACGGCTTCCAGCAGCGTCAGGATAGCTAACGACGTGTTACAAGATACGGAAACTGAGAGTGCAGAGTCAGTATCACAGGAGGAAGAAATGGAACATTGACGGATGACCGAAAGACAAGATGAAAAAAAAAAGATGAAATTAGAAGAATTTAGAAGTTTTAGAACTTCTAAACGACGAAAAAAGAAGAAAACAAAGGAGTGATGAAGAAAAGTTAAAACTCAGAATTGTTTATGTGTGTGAAAAACTCAAGTGAGAAACCAAGCAACCAAGTTGTAATTGAAAACTGAAACATTAAGTTGAGTTTTGAAATTGTTGCATTTATAGACTTGCATTTTGATTTTAGTTGAAGTGGCTTTAGAGACACTCAGTTACTATTTATTTAGGAAGGCTTAAGTGAAGGAGTATATTTAAATATTCCAGCCTGCACTTGTTGGTTGGCAGGACTGTCTTGCAAGCCAACACCTTTTAAATCTAAGAGAAAAAGTTTTAATCGGGACATTGACATTGGAAGTCAGAAAATATGTTTTATCTTAAGTCATATCCTCAATGTGCAGATTAATGAGAGAATTTGAAGGCTATAGTGATGTAGTATGATGCCATTTATATTCTGCAGTGAGTCGATGTGACGTGGATAAAAGTAATTTCGTGCGTTTTGTAAATTCTGTTCGATGACACTGTAACCATTTTACGAACAGTGCGTGATTCAGTGAGGACATTGACCAGCAGCGAGCCTTCCGGATTGGTGATTATTTAGAACTAAGAACGTTATTGGAACGATTGGCCAGACGGTGAGGGCTGGAATATTCTGGTATTTTAAAATTTCAAAAATTCGAATTATGACGTCATATTTCTGAGAAACGTCAGAAACGGCCATTTTGGCTAAAACAGGAAAGAAAAACAGAACAACATTAGCTGCGCTAACAACAACTACGAAATCGAGATTGGAAAACGACAACGAGTTACAGAGTAACAGAGAACACTCCGAGTTGCAACTATTGTGCCGCTACAATAGTTGCAAGGCCGTTGCGAACAACGGTGAAGGGTGAAAGACGGCCTTCCGGATTAAGAAGAAATCAGGATTAACAAGCTTGATCCAGCGGATTTGTCAATCCGGAGGGGTAAAGGAACTGAAACTTTTATCCTGTTACATAAACTTTTAGCTTCCTGTCATGTCCTGACTTGAATTTAATTAACATCTAGATTCATTTTGATAAGGATGAGAAGCTAGGAGTTGGGGGAAAGGGTTGATCCATCTTCGATGGAGATGATGATTTTTATCTACTGAACAAAAACAATAGTAATATAATAAGTAGTAGCCCTGTTTTTAGGAGTGACCTCGTGGTCTGGGGATACTGAGACCCAGCCATGAGCTCACTATTTCTGCATGTAATCTAGTTAATTTAAGTGTTTTGACCGAAGCCGAAAGCAGTAACGTTTTTGTCGACCTGATGTTAGAAAGACCACCGAAAAGTACTGGCTTGGTAGAGACGGTGAAAAGCATGCAAAGCTCTGTTTAGACGTTAGCCAGTCGTCTTAAGACTTAGTTTTGTCTTCCGTCGATATGTATCTTCCGGGCGAATGTTACAGCTCGGCTGATACCTTTTAAGCAGTAATGATTTTGTCGATCCGATGTTACGAGAACCACATTAAATTGGCTATGGTAGAAACTGTGTGTCTTTGCCGATGTTACGAGAACCACATTAAATTGGCTATGCTAGAAACGGTTAAAAGCACGTAAAGCTCTATTTAGACTCTAGCCCATCGTTCTGGGAACTAGCTTCACTTTCCGTCAGTATGTACTTCCATTCGAATGAGAGAGAGAGAGGCTTCTGTGTTTTACACAAGGGTTTGCACCCAAACTATGTTACACGAGAGAGGCGGCATCATCGCCTAATGATCAGAATCAAGCTAAACTATTTCTTAAATAAGGTTATGATGTTTTCAGAATATGTGACGATATTTAATGCCGAAATTATAAAAGAGCAATGGGCGAATTTTTTGCTTATAGTAGCCAGTTAATCTCGAAATTTAATGTAACGTTATTTTTCAATAAGTGATTCCGCAATTATACTAATCCAAAGTAACTCTTTTTCCAACATTTCCTTCGTGCATAAAATCCGTATAGAAGTGGAACTAAATTCTTGCAAAATCTTGTTTTTTTTAAAATAATACATGGTATTCTTTTTGTTTGTTTGAATCAAAGTATTGAACTGACTACTATTTCGTTTGAATAGCCAGACAGAAGCTACTGCGTTGCTTGATTGCTGAATTTCTGGGAACTTTCTTTTTTGTGTTCTTCGGGTGCTTGTCAGTTATAAGTGAGGCACAGAGTGGATATAAAACAGGATACCTCGCACCAGCCTTATGTTTTGGACTTCTAATAGCTGTGATTTATAGCGTGATTGGACCTACCAGTGATTGCCATATTAATCCCTGTGTCACGATGGCTTTTGCTATTCTTAAAAGAATTCCTCCTCTGGAAGCCTTCCTCTACATCCTTCTTCAAGTAACTGGTAAGGTGCTGCGGTTTTTCAGAACAGTGAAATATAAATGCGGTTGAGCTACTCAAATTTAATCTTAAATGCTTGCAACTTCAATAGCATAGTTGAACAAGAAGAGCCAGTTGCTGTGCAAGTAGCACATAATTATCCGACCGTAGTCGTATAGAAAAATACAAAAATAAGATTTTTTGTCAAATTAGTGCCGTTTTTTCTGCATGGTGTGATAAGAAGATCTGAGCAAACAATAGAACTCAGGTATATTCGACAGTCATAGTAAAGTAGCCCAATTGGAAAACAGTTTTTGTAGAAAAATGTCATAAAAAATGGTTAAAAAACTCAAAAAAAAATTTCCAATTTTTTTTGCTGAAGTTATTGAGTTTTGACGTTTTTATTTCCCGAATACACTCAAGAAAAACTAGTTTTCACGGCTTAAATTAAGCGTAATTAAGCTATCGTAAACCTGCTCGCTCACCTTATTCGCTTGAAGTTAGACTAAAAATCAAAATTTTCAAATGGGTTTTTCACGACTGAAAAATCTTCGATGATCTATCGCTCGACACTTCCCAATGATTATTTGTGATACCTGATTTTGCGTGGAAAACTAAAAACTAAAACACTCGAATACAAAACTCCTTCGAATTTTTCAAATAGTCGTTACAATAACATAGCGTCGAAAACTAAATTATAATAAGCAAGCAGGCAAAAGCTACTAGCGAACAGGCTTATAAAAGAAGAAAATGCTTTTATCTATGCGACAAAATTTAAAATTTAATTTACTCTAGTCAAGCTATTTTTTGAGTTTTTTAGCGCCTTCCCGTGAATTAAAAAATTGACAGTTTTTGTTCTAATCATTTTTCAGAGAGAACTGTTGTCGAATGTGCATATATATATTTTTTATGACTATCGAATATGCGTAAGTTCAGATACTCTCATCACACCACGGACAAGCAACGACAGTGGAAAAAATGAAAATTAATTTTTTTTATCATTGGTCTGAATTTTTAGCTGCTTACACAGCTACCGGCTATCCTCGTTTCGACCATTGAAAATGGGGAGGAACTTTGTATTCAAATGCGTTTTAGCTTTATTTAATTTTTTTTGTAGATTTCCCGCGCAAAATCAGGTGCCACAAAAAATCATTGGAATGGGTCGAGTGATGTATCAACTTAAAATGCTTTTAGTCGTGATTCGAATGACATTTAGAATAAATGTCATGACTTTGAACTTTGATAATCTGAGCGCGTACTGCTGAACTCTCTTGAATTTGACATTATGCTATATTATTAATCAAACTGTTTGATGATATTTGATAAACTAGTGTGACACAAAATTATACCATCAACAATGAGACCAGTTGGTTTGTTTTGCTATTACTTATATTAATTTTATTATGCTTCGACATCTTATCAACATCGGGACCCAACACGAGCTATCATGCATCCGAAAAACTTAGTGACAGCATGTATAAATGGTAGTCGAAAGCAGTATCTGATATGCTGACAGTCAAGACTGGGATTTCACGATATCAAGACAATTTCTATTCAGGCAAGATTTGATCATTGAAAAAATCTGCAGAGAAAAATTTGGACCAGCACTGAGAAGCCCAATAGAGAACGAAGTTGGCCTCTTTCAAAAGTTGCTTAAGTTATTAGCAACTGGAACAGCAAGCTGCTAAACATCCCGGTAATGTGAATCAGGTCATTGTGTGAAATAATGAGGTCTTCGAATGGAAACAATTTTTTTCCCGGCCCTTTTGACGGTATTTTCAAGATTCGACGTAATTGTACATTCACTTAGAGCTCGGTGGGAAAATCGAACTCCATTGATTGAGGATATTAATCAAAAAAGCAGAAAATCGATTTACCAACAGCAGTAAATGGTCCTCGTCAGTTGTTGCCAAAAATCATGGTAACCGGAATATCGAGTTTGAAACCCTACAAAAGAGAATATCGACGTGATATGCATTTCTGTTTGAATCTTAGAAAAACAAAAAAATTGGCAGGGAAGTTATTTCGAGGGAGTTGGTGGACATTTCGAATTATTGCTTGACTTTGAACTTTGATAATCTGAGGGCGCACTGCTGAACTCTTTTGAGTTTGACATAATGCTATTTTATTAATCAAACTGTTTGTTGATATCTGATAAAATAATTTGACACCAAGTTATACCAACAACATCGAGACCAGTCGGTTGGTTTTGCAATAAATTATGTTAATATTTTTATGTTTTGACATCTTAACAACATCGGGACCCAGCACGAGCTTATCATGCATCAGAACAATTTTTATAATAAAAGGTTTTGAAATAGAAGGTAATAAAAGATAGTTTTTTTTTGTAATGAGCATAATTCACTGCTTTCTGCACGTTGGTATACTTTGTTGTTTTTCCTATGACGCACTAAACACGACAATAATTTGAGGAAAAAATAAAAGTTTTTTAATGTTTTTTTTTTAGTGAGGTGGGAATTTGCACAGCAACCGGCTATCCTGGTTCGGCTTTATCTTTTTTTTTGTTTTCCACGCAAAATCTGGTACCAAAAATAGTATGTGGAATAATTCAAGTGATATATCATATTAAAGCCTTTTCAGCGGTGAGTCGAACGACCTTTACTCAAGTAAAATTAGTTTGCGACGTTTTTTAGCATTTTTAATTTCTTGTTTTTCTAGTCTTTTTTGATATAAACAGTTATCCACAATTTGCCTTTTTTACTAAAACTATTGAATACGTCTGTCTAGTTCTAGGCTTTCAAAATGGAGAGGAATTTTGTATTCGGATGTTTGTTTTTTTTTGTTATCCGTGCAAAATCAGGTACCAGAGAAAAATCATTAGAAAAAGTCAAGTTGTGCATTATATTAAAGCCCTTTCAGACTTGATTTGAACGAAATTTTAAAACGTTAAAAATTTTTTCCGAGTGTCGAGAAAGACCGATTTGAATTTTTTTGATTTGAGTCTAATTTCGTGCGTATAAAGATTTTTCGTCTAATTTGTAATAGGCTTATAATTGCTAGTTTTAAACATAAGGTAACAAACTAACAATTATTTATTTTTACTCAATTGAAATTAGTTGTGAAAAATTTTAGTAGCGCCTTCGTGGGGATACAATTTTGTGAACGAAAAAAAAAATTTTCCGCAGGAGCAGTTAATGCAGCTTAATCACCAATCTAATATACCTGTTTTTTGCTTGAATTCCCATGATATTTGTTTGTTGTTTTCATATTCAACATATCTTCGTAGAACGAGCTTTGCTTGTCTTTAATTTGATCAGACTCTTATACGCTTATTTATGGTCAATTAATCTGCATTCAATCTTTTTTCTATTTCATGTTATATCACAGTTTCTCGCTAATAACATTTTGTTAATACCAGTGATAAAATGTGAAGCTCCCCTTTTGCGTCAGTGACTGAAATTGAGGTTTAACCGACAGCATTTCTCCATTTTGATATCATTGATTCAGGTGGAGTGGCTGGCTCAGCTGTGTTGTATGCTCTGACGTATCCAGACTGGACTGAAGCGGGGCAACTGGGTCTACTTAAACTCCCCCCTGGAATTGAATGGTACCAAGGTCTCCTTATGGAGATAATGCTCTCCAGTTTATTCGCAGTCCAGCTGTTGAACTCAAGTCAACCAAACAAAGCTCCTTCTCAATACGACTACGGTCTTTCTCTGGAAATAGCAGCAGCGTATACTGCTTTGACAATAGCTGGCGGGGGGTTTTCGGGTTGCGCTTTGAATCCCATTCGAGCTTTTGGACCCGCTTTGATTCTGTTAGATTTCACCGACCACTATGTTTATTGGGCTGGTCCGATAGTTGGAACTTTACTTGGAATGTCATTTTATGCCCTGTTTTTGAATCAAGCATTGTTCCTGTGGAAGGAAAAGGTGGAAAATGGAAAAGATAGCAGCAAAAACAACGAAGATAAATCAGATGGAGACAAATCAAGCAGTATGAATTCAGATGAAAAGCATAAACAAAGAGAAATAGAGAGCATGAAGCGAGCGACCAATCCCATTATAGTGGTGGGCACTTCTAAAGAGGGAGCATCACTCAATCCTTCTGCAGGCGAAGAGTACATATCGCGAGTCATCTCTAATGACGATATCTCGGACCAGTCGATCGTTAAGGCAGATCTTGAAGCACTTAGTCGCGGAAATGCTGCCGATTGAAGCAAAAATCGAACCGAACTAACTGACTGAATTGTTATTGTTTTTTTTAATTAAAGATAATAATTTTTGAATAGGATCTGATTTCATGGGTTTTGACATTTTGAATGTTTTGTGAAAATTGAATATGATTTATTGCGATTTATCTTGACGTGATTCATTTTCATTGTTTTCAAAGCTATGTGCGTTTGACCATTTATTTAACTAACTGTCTCCATGCTTGCTGTAAAAAAAAAAGATTTGCCGTTGAACAGTACTTTGTTACAAGGTATGTAAATAATCTTGGTTCAGTTTGTTGATGAAAAAAAAATAAAAAATCTTTGTGTATACGTATGTAATTATGTAAAATTAACTTTGATTGTTGTAAAAAGAAAGAAATTTTCAGTTTTTTTTAATTTAAGCTACCCAAAGAAAAAATGCCAATTATTGATGAGAAATGTTTTGATGATTGAAAGAATCGGTTAAATATGAATTGGTTAAATATGATTATTTAGCCCTGAGGAAGACTAATGTATTACTCAAGTTCCTAACGACTTGCTGGGTACATATCTTTCACCCTCTCTCCCCTCCCTCGAAACGTGAAATCAATTAGGAATTATGGCGTAGTTTCCTAACAATTGCCTTGCTTTTTCTCGTTTAAATTAATCGTTCTCTTCGTTTAATTTTTCTCAGGGATATTTTTAAGGGATATATTATTAACAAGACTTCTCGTATCAGCCTGAATGTTCCGGCTGTCCAAAACTGGTCTCCAATAATTTTTGGTTTATGAAATTTTGACAAATTATGATTTTTCAGATGAATATAAGAATCGTTGTTGGAATTAATCTGACCACCTGGCCTGCCTCAATTCAATTAATAACGATTTTGTAGTTTGGGATAATTCGCCACGCGTAAATAATGCGCGTGAAATTTTCAGCATCAAACTATCACAGCGCTCTTATAATCACGTTAGTCTATTAATGAGCGTTTCAGAGCAAACTTAAAGTCAGGGGAGTTTGCTGCTTAGCGCGCACAATCTGGAACAACGAAGGTCCATGGATCAATTCCCTGAGGTAGTTATTTTTGAGAATTGTTCTGAATAAAAAACCACCCCGGCCATATATATTCCTTACTTTCTTCGAAAGTCGGAACAATAACAAAGAGTTTGTGTTGTTTAATTGATACTGAAGGTAGTGAATACACGTAACTAGGTTATGCTGTTGTTTTTGTTTCGACCACTGCAAGTAAGAAGGAACTTTGTCTCCGAGTAGTTTTTTTGTCCACGTAAAAGCAAGTACGACAAAACTGTTTGGAATCGGTCGAGTGTTATTTTGTAACATTAAAGATCTTACAGTCGTGAATCAAACGTCATTAAAAAGATGCCAAATTTTTTTCTCCATTCGAGAAAACTCGGTTGGAAGTTTTTTTTTACATTTTGAGCAAAACAAACAAGCGAGCAGGCTTTTTGCTGCAGGATTAGCCGTGAAATTTATTTTTTCTCCAGCGCCCTAATAAAAAAAAAACGTTCGAAAAATCAAAAGTTAGGAAAAATGATAACTAATAGGAAGTATGAAAAACAGGAAGAAAGCTTAATTTAATAAAATTGTCAGAAATTTTTAAATTCTAGGCTTTCTTGCAAGTCCTGTTTTCAAACCACGGACGAAAAACAAACCCAATTTTTATTAAAAAAAAAGATAGCACTTTTTTTCATGTTTGATTGTGGTAGGACTTATCGATGCTTCTTGCACATATACATGTTTTCCATGTTTTTTAATCCTGGTATTAGTATACCCAAGGTTATTGTAACCGGGTACTGGACTTCGTTACAATAAACAATTTTGATGCCAATATCGGACCTCAATTCTAGTTAATCTTCCAGTCTGTAATTGTGTACTGTAATCAATCAACAGACATATTTTAAAAATTTCGAATACCCGTTGTAATCGAAAGTTGTCATGCGGTGTTGGTTACACTTGCAATCAGCTTAGTGTCGAATTACGCACCTTCTTTTTTCAACCTAACTTGCAAATAATAGTGTTCATTAAAAGTGTTGACGTATTTGAAAATTTCATTGTAGCATTGGATATTGCATGGCGTATGTTTTCTGCTTCATTTGTGGCTAGTGTTTGATGCTTATTAAGCTTTGTGGCTGAATGGTTAGTTTGTGAGACGCTTAATTGCTAGGTTGCAGGTTTGAATAACATAGCAAGCTGAGTTTTCACTAATTCAAGGCTTAATTATAATTTTTATTATTGCACTTAATAGAGCTGCGTTTTGTCGTGTTCTCCCATTGTTTGCCTCTGTGTCCTCAGTATTCTCATAGTCATAAATGACCATCACTGAGACTTAATTTCACCAAGACGCACTATTCTTAGAGGGTTACAAGTTGCCTAACTACTCACCTTACGAATCCGAGCTTTTTAAAATCACCGGGTATGAACCCTTCCTAAGATTACATCATAGGATCCACAGTGCTAAAAGCATTGTGGCGGTTACCATTCATGGCAACTTCGGGAAAGCCCATTTTCCACAAATAGCTTTCACAACATCAGGGGATTCTGTAGAACACAGTCCCCCGTTTCTGGTCTCCACTAACACAGAAAGTTGTACCAAAAGTCGACTCTATCCGAAGGCCTGCGAGACTACTAATGGTAATTGGTCTGGTGGCTTTCAAGGCCGTATCCAGCCGGGGCATGCGCAACACAAAAATGTCGAGTGTCCCCCAAGGCTTGCGTTTGCCGAAGCAAGGCTCCCCAAGGTTCGCACTTACGTCTTTGAGCACTGGGCAATGCGGCGTGTGACGTTTGCAGAAATGGCCTCGTTTGACGAACCATCGGTGACATATTGGAAGCACGTGATCCAAAACATCGCGCACGTAATAGGAAGTACAAATACCTGTACAACATCGATTTGTTGGAATTTCATTTTTTTTTCATTTTATCGGCTTTGAAGGTTTTGGTTTATTTTTCATCGGTTTTTGGGCCTCGTCTTGCGTCATATGAGCAGAAAACTTATTAGAGTGGGTATGTGTTTTGAAAGAATGACTTGAAACATTTTAGATACTTTTTTTTCAGCTGAACCGTTTTAAGTTCAAGTATTGCCGGCACTGTAGCTCCTTCGAAATTCTATGTTGCGATGCTTATTTAGCATTCAATTATCTTACTTCACTTATTTTCTCAAAAGGTACATGTTTTTCTCAAAATGAGATCTCAGCTTTTTTTCGAAAGCTTTTCTAGGATCCTTTTTTGCCAATTATTTGTCATGCTATGTCTATAATGAATAGCAAAATATGCTAAGCCCTGGTTCGTTTTTGTTTTTGGAAATTGTGTCGTTGAATTTTTTGCATCATTTTTTATTGTTCGAGTTCATTTTACAAGTGGAGTTTGAATTAAGTTCATCAATGGCAAAAACAAATAACGTAAAATTATTTGGGGCCGCGCAAACTTTTTTGATAAACACTGTTGTTCGTTTTGTACACCGGATGACGTTCCTTTGATTTCTTGAAGTCCAAATCTTTTGATTTGTGGGTCTTTTTTTGGTGCTTGAGGAAAATAAAATCAAAAATTGCCATCCAAAAATGTGCAGAAAGTGTTTATAAGTTCTTCGATAAAACTGAGTTGATTCTGAAAAAAAATGTTTTTCTTTCTGTCCGATCATCCAACAAGTGAGAAAAAAAAACTATGCGTTAGGTATGCTTTTTCTCACAAAATCCGAAAGTTGTCTCAGTTTCAGTTACCCTATACTGAAGAATAACATGAAATTTAAACAAAAAATTATAGTAATTTTGAATTTTTTGTTTGATATTTTCCGAAGTTTTTCCTTTTTTAAATTTTTTCAAAATGATTTTGGTCGAATCTTTCCGTGCTACTGCAATACAACCTTCTCGACATGTTTTTCACCCTTGAAAGTCTTCGAGCATGTTTTAGTTTGTCTTGAACTTTTTTCTAACCCAAAAACGTACCACAAGTAATAATCGGACTGGATGTTGAATATTATATAATATTAAAGCCCTTTCTGTCGTAATTCCAACGACATTAAAATTTGGTTTGTTCTAAAATCGAGCGATTCAACCGCGAAAAAGGACATTCTTGAATTTTTAAGCTGTGAATTTTAGTTTTACTCTAGGAAAACTAGTTTCCGAACATAAAAACAGCACTTTCTTAGTAATGAAAAGTTTTTTAGGTTTCTGTGCTCAAATTTTTGTTAATGCTTCTTTCTAGGGAAATTGTTTTTTCTCATTTTCCGTTTTTTACCATTGATTCAAGTTCACGAACTTGTTTTTGTTCTTATACGATACTTTTCTCATCTTATCTTATAGAGGCCATGAAAAAGTACTCTGATCAATTCACTCGAATCACCAGATAAGTATTACCAACTGTGGTATGTATGACCCAGGGGCTGTTGTTGAGTTGAACAGGTCGTTTGATCGGTTGACACTCCTGATAGAGTAAGGGCCAAAATATGATTGCTATCCTGAGTCAAGCATGAGCTACTTGGTTGTACATCCCATTTTTCATGACGAAGTTTATTTGACAAGTTCGATTTCGAAATAGTTGACAGGTAATTGACAAACATTTCCAAAGTTTGGGTGGATATAATGGTTCACAAGAAGAGAGCATATTTTCATTGGTAAAAAAGTTCAAGAAGGGCTGAAGTGCTTGGATGATATACCAAAAGTTGCAGAGAATGAACCCCAAGCTGCAATGGTTGGCTGAATAAAATTGTTGGAAGGTGAATAGAGTTTTTTTCACTGAGTGGTAAAAAGTACATCAGTTTCCTGTTTAAAAAGTGTGGGAAGAAATTTTCTCCTGGGAGTCTCTAATATCACACACACGGATCGCGTTCTTTTCTATCTTCCAGCAGAACAAGGAGGTTTAGGAGTACGGAATTCAATTGAAAATGCCAACTTACCTTTTTCTACTTGAACAGTAGAGAAGCAACATCTTGTCTTGTGAATTCTTTGTCCAGGAAAGATTTGATCAACACGAGCAGAAAACGAAATGAAAAGAAGCAAGGAAAAACTATGAGGAGCAACAGAACAAATTGTTTAGAAACAAACTGGAAGTGTTTGCTGTTTTGCCAGCTGTTCAAAAAGGCGCAGTGTAGCGAAGTATACTTGATAGTTATTCTTTAAGGTTGGATTCATTGCCACTGTCAAAAAAACAATTTCGACCTTTCAAAAAGTGAGTTCAGAGATGCTTTGTGTATTCGGTATAAAAAGTCTCTATGGAAAAAATACTCCAAATGAGATGTATAAACAAGGATTTGACCTACAAAAAGTGGATTGTGACCTTACGCTAAAACGAATTTCGGGATGCAATAGTAAATCTGGCTTCCATGCTCTCAAAAGACATGAAACAGGAACCCATTAGCAATAATGCAAATAGTGAACGTGGTACCCCAGCATTAGTTGCGGATCTTGTAGCTCATAGCGTTTGAGACAGGCAGTCAGCGGCGTCATTCGAGATTCGAATCACAAACACATAGGCTCCGTCTTACCTACATCGTAACGCGATGAATGGTTTGAATTCCGCTGAGGGAGAAAAAAAACGTAATTGTAGCAGCTTGCGAAGGTTAGCATATTTCATTTACTCCACTAGTGACATCTGTGGATGGAGTTTTGGTACCCGAATTTACCTTCTTTTAAAGCGAATTGCGGATGGATGGAGTGCAAAGAGGGACTGACCTTACAGCCATGTGTTACGTTCGTTGTGGAATTTCTTTTGCCATCCTGAGAGCAACTAACTAACTTATGCATCAGAGGCAAACGGGCCACATTGAAGTAACTGGGACTAAAGGATGGCAGCACCATCGGCATAGCAGTTCAGTACTTGGAGCAACTTAGAGATTTAAAAATCGTTTTTCGCCTTCGATTATTCTTGACTTTGCCGTGATATATTTTCCAGAACAAACATTTTTGTTGATTTTGATCAAAATATTATTATTTTTCACTTAAGTTCAAGTTTAATATAATTGAACTAAAGCAAATTTGCTGCCAAAAATTGCAGACTCACTTTAGTATAATTTTGTTTACATTTTGTTAATATTTGAATTCAGTTTTAGCAACTGTTTTTTTTTCAAAGTTCCGCTGCACCTCCCGGCAGAAAAACTCAAGATCTGCGCCTGATTAAAGCTGTTCGATTAGGCATGGACATAACATGATTTTCCTGATTATCTCACCTCTCGCTGCGAATTGTTTTTTTTCTACAGTAGCGGCAGCTTTGTGTATTACTAAGAAAATTCTTTTTTTTCTAAACTAAATCGCAAATGTTCGTGCCACTTTTGGGGCACCTTTACAGCTCTTTGATAGCAAGTGCCTGACATTCGAATGGTAATTAATTAACACAACTGATGCATTGTTAGACATGCGATCAGCTTAGTGTGTTATCACGAGTTTTCTGATTTTTCTAACCTAACTCGCAAATAAAGCGTTCATTAAAAGTGTTTACTTGTTTGAAAAGCTCACTGCACTATTGGAAATTGCAAAGCATCTGTTCTCTCCTTTATTTGTGAATGACTGTTTATTGATACAAATTAAGCTTCCGTGGTTTAGTGTGTGAGACTCTTAATCTCTAGGTCGCACGTTCGAATATTAGGTCTCAGAGGTAGACGAATATTTGCTAATTCGATGCTTCTTTCTGATTTTTTAAAGCAATTTATAGAGTTGCTTTTTGTCGACTTCTCGCAAGTGTTTGCGGATCGAAGCTTCGCTTCTGAGTAAATTTATCAAGTTAACCCACGAAAGCTATTTGTTTCAAACAACAACAATATTAAAAATTCGATTTCAGAAAATTTCTAACCCAATATACCTCGCAATTTTTTGAAATGCGAAATTAAGGCATAAAGGGACTGTATGCTTTCCGATTTGTTGCATGCAATTACAGTGTGGATGTCTTCAGTTTGTTATAGTCCAAATTATTACTGACAAAATTGTGTCTATTTGTATTTGGTGCTACTTTTGCTGAATCGCGTTGGCAATTTGTTAGCATATGTAGCTGCCTTATTCACGACTAGTGTTTGTCGATCGATGGTTAAGCGTGCGTTGCTGAGTGTTTGGTGTGTGAGACTCACAATCTTTCTATTTTAGTAGGTCGCAGATCGAATCTTAGACCTAGCCAAATTTTCAGTAATTCGAGACTTTTTTCTATTTTTTCTTAATGCGGTTTCTAGAGCTGCTTTTTGTCGTGTTCTCGCTAGTGTTTGCGAAGCGAAGCTTCGCCTCTGAGGAAATTTTTGTGCTTGGTTTACTTCTTATTGCAGAAATTTGAGAGATGATCTTTTCTCTTACTGAATAAAAGCGCATATTTTTTTCATTTTAGGTCTTAATTTGCTAAAACTGAAAAAAGGAACAAAATGAATTCATTGCAAACAAACTTGTAATTGAGAATTATCTGAACTGAATATAAAAATGGGACTTAATATGGAAATGGAATAGTAAATTGATAGATTTTGCGGCAATTAGCTAGTAACTCTTCTACTTCGAAAACGATCGTCTAAAACTAGATGTCTGTGGAGCAAGACCTGGACTCAGATTCTAGTGGAACTCTTCTGGTATGTATGGGAACTCCTGGTTGGTTCTCTTTCTGGGGGGTCATAGTGTTATTTCTGTTCGAGAGTCCAGCTCCCTGGCTAGGAGTTCTAACCCGAACAGATTGCGACTGTACTGCCGGGTTTGATGGCATGTTCACTGTAATTGGCATCATTTGCATCTGCTCAGGTTGAGTCTGCATGGGAGACATGTCCCGGCTGCTTCCGGCTGAGATGAATCCATTAGGAATGTGGGTCTGGACTATTTCTATTCCGGTCTTGAACTCGCCTGACGGACCGCCGACATTGTGAGATGGACTTTTGACTATGATGGGAAACTGAAAGGACAAGCCATTTGAGTCGACACATTTTACATGAAACAGTGGTATCAAATATCAGATGATGACTTTGAGAACTCAATTTTAAATCAGTTTATTAAGTTTGGACCTAAAAAAAACATTTATTAGCGGTAACTGACCCTAACGCCGGGATCTTTGTGCTCCGAATATGTCCCGACAGCAATTGCACCTGAATTGTTCTGGTTGGCTCTATTTGGCACATTGCAAGACAGACTTGAACAACTATCAAACAACGATGAGTCATCTCTGTTCTGGGGCAATACAGGCATTGTTGTGTGCGGTGAAATTGACCCCTGATGGCTGTATAGAGAACTAAAGTGAACCACATCTGAGCTCGTATCTCGACTGATGGTACCCAACCCCCACTTGCTAGCTACTGAGCTCCTAGGAGTAGACAAATTGTTGGTTCTGCTAGCTGCCATCTGATGATATTCACTGTAGCCCGGGTTCAAGGTTAGGTTAGCAGGAGTGTTTCCGCCATTTTGATTGGAAACAGGTACCTTTTTGGACTTGAATGACCCGGTGGTACTGGACCGTAGAAGTGCTAGTCTTGTGATTGAGTTAGAAGGGGAGCTTGCACTTGTTCTTTTGACATTGGAGTGAACGGAATCTACCAGTCCTATTATGGAGTGTTTCTTTTTGCTTAACTTGGGTGCCGTTTTGAGGGACGCATTCAGTCGCTAAAACATCAGTCTCAGTTGCAATTCACTCTCAAAAATCGCACAAAATACAAAGGATCACTAAGTTTTGAATTTATATTTTCCAAACCGTGCAAGGATCGCTGTTTTATTGACAAAGCCCAAAATTTGAACTCATGTTTGTACCGCTGTTCCTTCCAAAACGATATTATTGGCATTTCGGTCGTACTTGTCTGTTTCATTGGACGAATGGCCAGTTGAAATTGGATTTACAACTACTTGCCTGGCTGAAGAATAGGATGTACTTCCATTTGCCACTGTACTCGTGCTGTTTGAGACAAGGCACCACCAGTTTATAGACCAGCCACTCTATGCCTAGCACGAACAGGGCGAACAAACTGCCCACCAGTATTAGGATGAAGACCCCGTGGGCGTGGTCGAATGACAAGCGGTACCTAAGATCAAAACATCATGTTAAAGCGGGTGAGAGATGATCAATTTTTAAAGAGAATTAATGTTTTGCCACTCTTATTAAGACCATTTATCCACGGTGGAAAGGACCAACACAAGAGCTGTACAGCTCATCACGGCGAGCCGCTGTTGTCCCCCTGTTTAAGAACTACATGCAATTTTTTTTGGTTATTTTTCTGGGCTGGGTAATGTTGCTTCACCCTCAAGCATCTTAGGGGTTACTATTTTAAGAGTATAACATTTTACGAGGCTACTGTAAAGGGTTTAGCGGGTTCACTAATTAATGCGATACCGAAGAATTTCAATTGGTGTAAAATGTAGCAACTACAAAAAAAGAAAGTACTTTTCGCTAAAAATCAGCTTTAGTTGTCAGGTTTTATTTTTAATTTATTTGTTATTTGCATCAGCAGGCATGGATCTAGGATTTTCTGAAGAGCGGTTTTTTAAAAAGTGTGGAAAATTTTAAAAGTTTTCTTAGGCCGACCAAACTGATTTTGCGAGTATTCCCAAAACACAAAAAAGACGTTCTTTCTGCGCGCGAAGTATTTTCGTGAGAATTATATCGGTGGAATAGAAATTCTGCTTAACGAACCTGCTCATCATAGGCGAATAGCACTCTCCACTGGGCGTGGTGAGCCACTTCTTCTCCCAGGTGGTGATCATGCCTGTGGCCTCGTAGTTCACGAGGCGCTCATTGATCTAAACAAAGGAGCTTTTTCAAAACTCAGAATACTTTTTAATTTATATACGTAATATGAATGAAGACGAAAAATCTTTTTTGACCAATAATATATTTTTTAAAATTTTCGTTTTAACACTTTGAACAAACCGTGCGTTGTTAGAGTAAGAGTATTTTAAAGTGCTGGTAGTTTTTTACGAATTTGATTTTCCATAGCACCTCAGAAACTTCCAAATTGTGGACCATAACCCTATCTAGATTTTTAGCCATACCTGATTGACAAGATTGGAGTGTTTTGGGAACATGAGTCCGTAGGTGTCTGACCAGAAGTTGCTCCCTGCTGCGATCAGAGTGCAGTCGGGGTCAGTGGCTGCCTCGTACTCCACCTGGGGAGCATCGAACATCAGCGCCCCTATCTCGTAACTCCTGTAATACATCATTTATCATCATCATTGATTATGGATCTTGTTAACTATCTCCCCCTCTATGTTATGAATAAAGAATTTGCCACCACTATAAAGAACTAATTCAACGGTTATGCATATGTGAATTTTAAACTTCGTATTAAATTTTCTTCTGTTTCAATGGGGGGGGGGGGTAAATAGTAAAATTCGCTACAATGGTATACACTGTTCCAGCACGAAACTAGCAACAAAGATGCTAAAGACTAAAGATGCTGAAAGGGAAATTGTGAAGCGCTTACATGATCAATCGAGCTAAGAGTATATCATTTGTCCTAACTATGTTGCCTAAATTGGTGAAAATGATGATTTGATTTTTTTGTAGGATGGAAAATATGAATGTTTTTTAGCTGCAAAAACTAGGAATATCTTGGTACCCGGGGGTAACTTGTTCTCACTTTAGCTTGGCCACTCCCTCTGCGAGGCTCTTGACGTTGTTCTTTTTGAACTCCCTGTACCTCTGGGGGAAATAGAGCTGCAAGTAGTACTCTGTGCTAGTGCCGTTGATAGTCGCAAACTTCATGTCACTGTCCGGATAACGAAGCTACAACAGATTTTTATAACAAAATTGTAATCAAATTCATAAATTGCTGTTTAGTTTTTTTGAGAAGCTTTGCGTTCAATTTCCAGTGTACGTACTGCTATCTGTAAACAGAATGCCTACTGAAAACTTTTTGCTTTGGTGTCCTGAAGGTTACAGATGTTTTGTTTTAAACCATATTTTTTCTAAAAAGAAATGAAAGAGTTTGCCCAGTTACCTTTGAGATGTCTATGTTGGGATCCAGCATCCGACCCGCCATGAAGGAGGCCAAGTTAGCCGTGTAGCCAGCAATGAACACAACAGCGAACATACCCCACGCATTGACTATGATTCTGCTGGCCACACTCTTGGGGGGTTTGGAGGCGTAGGTGTGTGAGAAGAGTAGGGACCAGGTGTGGAGGAGGCCAGAGGGGAAGCTGAACACAGAGCGTCTGTTGCGTCCATTCGGGTGCAGGCCATAAGGCGACAGCCACTGAATCACAAAACATTAATCCATTCTCAGAAACAACAATTTCACGTGACCTCAGCGCCAGAAATATCTAACTTTTCTTAGTCATCTCACTAAGAGGCGACCATTACAATTTTTGGCAGATGTACAGACGTAAATGGCTTCAAGAAAGCATGCCACAGCTCTAAGTCGATCAAATTTACCCAAGCACGAGAAAGAAAATGTGCTTTTTTCTGTCCCATCAAATTGCAGCTTTTTTCTGTCCCAGAAAATCTTGGCCAATAAGTCAACCAGGTATAGATGTTTTTTTTGGCTGCGAGAAATTGGTTTTTTCCCATTATAGCCCCACTGCCTAATTAAAAAAGCCCCCCAGACACAGGTTTCGTAATATGGAAGGTTTATAAATTAATTACCAGGGTGGGGTGCTTTTTTAAAATTTTTTCAAATTGCTGCGTGATTCCTCATTGTCATCAAACAGAAAATTGTAGGAGGAGCTTACTTCGAAGAATGCCATGAAGATTGCAGTGACGTGGACGAATATGAAGATGAGTATCCACATGGCGGGCGAGAAGGGGTCCATGAAGGCGCTGGTGGCTGGTCGGGGGGGCTTCCTAGCAGACAGAGTGCCAAACGCGCTGCTGTAGTAAGGGACACTGAACTGGATAGCCTCTGCCCTCTGAGGTGTGATGCTAGTTGCACCTGCCGCCATGTCAGCTGAGTCCCGTAAGATATCCCCTATCATGCCTCGCCATTGGCCTTCAGTGTATGACCCAATTGTAGCTTCAGGAGTCAGGAAAGCCTGAAACAAGTGAAAATAAACTTTTTAAAGATTGCTCAGCTCTTTTCCCCATCTGCAAGGTTTTATAAATAAAATGATGGTTCACGTTTTCCGATTGTTATTAAAATTGACACGCGGAATAGCTACGCCATGACAAACATATTTTGATTTTCATGATTACTCTTGTAAAAGCACTCGTTATGCCATAAAAGTGCAAGCTGAGAGAGGGGGTGGAGAGCTGATGGCTTCATGACTAGTTTTAATGAAGTGAAAAGACGACGAGTTAACGGAATGAAACGCTACTGTGTTGTATTTTGGCGTTTTGTTAATTCGACATACTCCTATTCTATTTTTGGAGAGACCTGAAATCAGGGGCGGATCTAGGATTTTCTCGAGGGGGGGGGGGGTGGGGGGGTTGGGTTTTCAAAAAAAAAAAACTTTTTTTTTAGGTCTTTTTCTTTTTTTAGTTCGACCTACTTGATTTTTCGAGCTCCTCCAAAGCAGTACAAAAATCCTGTTTGGGCCAAAATTTCTGCGCCGCAGGCAAAATTTTGACAAAATAGGTTAAAAAAAAAAGCGTTTTTTGGCATTTTTTGGAAAATGTTGACCAAAAAATCGCGTTTTTTCGGCGCGCGCTCCTCCCTCAAAATTAATATATATTGGCGCCAAAGGCGCCTTTAGAAAAATTTTAGGGCCCTTCACCAAAAATGGATATCTCAAAATAGTACAAAGGGAGACCCTTTGGGTCGGCAAGGGGTCGAAACCCTGATGGGAAGAACGGATGCCCCCCCCCCCCCCCAAATCCGCCCTGCCTGAATTGACAAAGGCTGTAAAATGATAGAGATTGAACTTCTTGACGGCTGTCTCTAAAAATAGTGAGTTACTATGGTAAGTTAAGCTGAATCAAAAATTTTTCGTCTTTCCATATTTCTTTGCAAGCTCACCTGGTACTTGAAGTTGAGATCATTAGCGAGACTCTTGAGAACTTCAACTGTGAATCCGTAGCAGCATAACACGTCCACCTTGTCCGCACTCTTACCATCCAGGTACTTCTGGATCTGGTCGGGGTCCACGGTGAACGAAGAGATATTGAGACACTGGATGCCTACGTCTCTACACTACACGTAAATAAAAAATTTACTTTGTTTTTTTAGCCATTACAGTATTAAAGTATGATTTTTAATCTGCACCACAAAATCCGTTTCAAAAAAGCCGTTTCTGCACCGTGGCTGTGCAAGACTGCTTTCAAATTACCTAAATATCATTTCATCGTTTTTATCATCAATTCCTTAGTTTAAAGCCCTGTTGCTCACACAGTGGTGCCGGGTGGTAGGGGAAAGGCTGAACTGACCTTGATTCCAGCTTGCTCGCTCTCTTCATTGTACTGCGCAGTCTGCATCACAAAGGGCAGAGACAGCTTCAACACCAGTCGTATTTTCTCAGTGTCCGCTATTCTAACTGCATCTGGCAACAGAGGCGAACCTGAAAAAAAAACGGTCATGGCTATCGGTTTTTCAGAAAAAAAACAAGAGATAACTTACACATTCAGTTACATTTTTCGAAAGTCAAAACAATTATATGGTTCCGGAGTTTACGAAAAAGGTTACCACAAACTCATTATAAATCGTTTAGTATAGTAAATTCTAATAGTTAACAACAAGACTACATATCAGGGCGAGGCCCTGAAAGTTCCGACAGTTCTTGTAAGTAAATTGTGGCGCATCGGTAGTGATGGTGCCCAGTAGTCATATGATTGCGGGTTCAATTCGCACGTGCACTGCAATTTACAAGGTGAGCTATTGTAAGATAGTCATAGCTTAGTTAACCTTAAACAAATGTCCTTTGCGTTAGGCCTCTGGCCGCTTAACTGAAAAAAAATTGAAAGCTTCAGCTAAAAAGAAAAGAAAAAATACAAAAAAAAATATTTCCCATCAACTAAAATTGTGCGCGCTCAACCTCCGTAGTATGATTTAAAAACGAAATATCAATAACAAATTCGTATTCTCGGCAATACAAAATTCATCGGTAATACTAGCTAATTTCATCCAAATTTTGCAGTTAAACAAGTTCATAACTTCACCACTACAGCTTCCATAACAAATTGGCGCAAGCTAGCCACACGAACCGGTCGGTAATGTCCTTGAGACAAATTGCTCTTTTTGGCGTCAGCCTTAATCAAGGCTGAACCGAATTAGAATCGAAAAACAGTTAAATAGGATATAACCCCCGTTTTTAGTATATTAATACATGGGCAGATGGGGGACTCGAACCTACGTCAACTGGCAAGTTTGTATAGTCTGTACGTTAGCTTAGTCCACTCGGCCAACTGTGCTTGTTTTTATATGCATTTATACTCTGTTTTATATGCATCTATACTCTGTTTTATATGCATCTATACTTTACATTTGCGTTGCAACATCCTCCCCCCTGAAGAAAGAAGAACAGGGGCGAGCTTAACGGTAGGTCGAGTGACTTCACAGGTTGCGGTCTTAACAAGGGCGGATCGGGCGCAACCGTCCTGTCCGTAGTTTAGCTTAACGATTCGGGCGAGAGGGTAGTTCCCACGCGGACTATCGGGCTCAATCACCCACATGAGATCGCCTGTCTTATAAGTGGAGTCACATTGAGTGATTGAGTGTGCCACTTGACACGCCTATTCAGTGAGGGAACATATTCGCGAAGCCAACGAGACCAGATAGCGTTGGCAAACGACTGCGCTCGCACGTACCTTTTCTTTTGGTCGAAGTGCTCCCCGGGTAAAAGTGAAGGAAAGCTTGTGGCATGTTGTCCAAGCAAAAAGTGGTTTGGGGTTAACGCTTCGAACTCACGTGAATGCGTACTAATGGGAGTGATTGGCCTCGAATTCAAAGCCTGCTCAACTAAGCAGAGTGTTGTTCCTAACACCTCTTCGGTGACTCGCCTACTGCCTAGTATATCGTAAAGCACGCGCTTCACGCTTCGGACGAGGCGCTCCCAGGAGCCGCCATGATGAGGTGCGCCTGGCGGGTTAAATTTCCAAGTAACACCTTTGTGTGCAAAAATGGTCGGAGCGATGCCATTCCAGCTCTTGATGCAGGCAAGTAGTTCCTTTTCCGCACCAACGAAGTTCGTGCCGTTATCCGACCAGATCGTGCTTGGTGTACCACGACGCGCAATGAACCGTTCAATGCCCATGACACAAAAACTAGTGTCCAGAGATGGTACAATCTCAAAGTGTACAGCCCTGGTGAAAATCCCCATCTTGTTTCAGTGCTTCTGCAAACCGGAACGTAAAGCAGTCTAAAGTAATCCACACCCGTATGATTAAAGGGTGATTGCGTATATCCGAGACGTTCGACAGGTAAATCGGACATAATTGGCTGGATAGTACTTGCTTTGCGTTTTCGGCATGTTACACATTGACTTTCGATAGACCGAAGTAGTCGACGCAACCCAAGTATTGCATATTTCATATTTAAAACGGAGAGCATGTAATCTAAACCGTGATGAAAATGCTTGTGGTGGAGACTGCGGGCCAACAATTGAACTAGGGTATGTCGGGCGTCGAGTAAATCGGGTGCTAAGTATCAAACGATACCAGCGGGACCGATAAATGGCGAGTATGTGGCAATTTTACTACTTATCTTAATAGGTTTGCCAGCGGTGAGTGTTTTTGACTCAACGGGGAAGATTCCATCTGAGCAAGTTGAATGAGTTTGCTTCCTGCAATATCAATTTCAGTGGAGTCGGTGATTCGTAAGTCCTTACCGCGAAAATGCTTTATGTGAAGGCAGCATCCTCAACATAAAAGCGACTACTCGATTGTATATCGTAAAGGAACTGAACCTTTCCCAATTGAACCCGTTTTTGGGATGTTTGATGGATGTGATATCGGTGACGAAGGAAGATGATGTCTCCAAGCAATTATCAACATCACAAGAAGGACCCTTCAAACGAATCTTATTGATTACACGTTCTTCGGGTATAAACGGCCAATCAGTAGTCCTGAGAATGCTGGGACCAATAACCGAGCTGCTATCCTTGAGGGCTTCCGAAGAAATCCCCCGCGTACCGATATCAGCTGGATTATCGCCGCCCAGAACATGGTGCCACTCATCAATAGTGGTCGATTCGAAGATTTCGCCGACACGGTTAGCGATGAATACAGGTAATTTTTCAGTTTAGCCACTGCAAAAATGTTGTACTATCTCTCCACATGTAGACATGGTTAGTGCTGACAGTAAGGGTTGTCATTATATCATCTTTCAGTCGTGTGGTGAGCAGAGCAGATTGAAGCTATAGCTTTGGTATAGATAGCGCTTTCATGGGCGCAACGCGAGCTTTGCCAAAGAGAAAAGATATTTGAGTTTTGTGCGAACTCGAGAGTCGCGCACGCAATAACCCAACCGCGCAGAAAACGTCCTGCGAGCTATCACTGAACATGTGGAGCTCAGCAATGATCCACAGGCTCTGTGAAGCAACAAAGGGAATAGTCAATTGCCCTAAGAGAGGGAAACCGGAGTGCCACTCGAGAAATTTATCTCTTATCTCTTCCGGTAATTCATCTTCTCAAATTTGACCACTGATTTTCCAAACATCTTTAAGGAAAAGACGGGCCCTAACGGTTTATGAAGCTACTAACCCAACAGGTTCAAACGCAGAAGAGACAAAACTCAAGACGGTTCGTTGAGTTAATGCCTTATCGAGACGACGATCCACGCCTCTGCTAACAACCAATGTGTCTTTCACATGATCCCACTTGAGACCTAAGACGTGTGATGATTGTTCGGCACTGTCACAATATTCCTTGATGGGTGAAGACGAGGTTTTGCAACCCTCGGGGTTCATTGCTGAAGTGCTTTCATCAGCATTACTGACAAAATTACTCAAATTAAATCCTCCCAACTTTAGTAACGAAAACAAATCGCGGCTAATTTTAATTGCATGGGTAACGCTCTCGAACGAATCCAAGTAATCGTCCATGTAAAATTTTTCACTTACGACTGAGGCGGCCTCAGGGTATGTGGACATTATAGTCAATTGCCCAGAAACATTATCAGTTGCTGTTTTCCGCAACGCTAAATTGGCGCATGTAGGCGAATCCCGTGCGCCGAATATATGGCGAGTGTACTGATGAACTACCACATCGGAAGTGGTATCCTCCCGCCAAAAAAAATGGAGCGAAATTTGATTGCGGGCGAGGACTCCTACCTGGAGGAACATACCCTCTATATCCGCGGAGACGGCGTATTTGTGTTGACGGAATCGCAAAAGTACAAAAATTAAATTTTGGAGTAGGTCCGGACCCACCAATCAGGACTTATTTAAGGATGTGCCGTGGAACTTAGAAGCCCCTTCAAGGACTCGACACCCCTTACCCGACTTATTTGGTTTTACGACGGGATGGTGCGAAGATACCACTCGCGATCGGAACGCTTACGTGGATCATGCGGTTCGACGAAAACGACATAGCCTTTCCTAATGTCCTCTCTAATTGTGTCTGCGTATCTTTCGCGCAGTTCAGGGTCTTTACTTAACCTTCTATCCATTGTTTTAAACTGGGCGAGTGACGAGTAATAGTTGTTTGGTAGACTGACATTACTATCAATCCAAAGCATAGGCACAATGTATCTTAAGCCATTGTAAACGGTTTCAGATTTTAGGATGAATAAAGCATGTTTATCCGCGGCGGAACGGGCATCGACTTGTTTTAAAGATACATAAGATTCCAACTTGTACCAGAATTTTATCTGGTCGGTCAGAGAAGAATCTTCAACAACACACTTGAAACACGAAGAAGTAGAAACAACGGACAGCGGCAACGGACCCTTTATGACCCAACCTATCGGGGAACGGAACACGGTGAGTTTTTTTTTTTCATCTCCCAATATAAACTCAATGGGTCTAACGGCGTGGTAGTAGTCTTGTCCTATAATAACTTCAGCATCCTCATAAGTGTATTGAATGGGCTTAATAGGGGGTGCTCATTGTGGATATTTTTCTGCGAATCAGCAATATTGACTAACTCGGAACCAATCCGAATATTGTCTTTAACATATGCACATAGAGAAAATACGAAATCACTATTATTCGGCAACGGACCACTTATGACCCAAACTATCGATAGGCGAACGGAACACGGTGAGTTTTTATCCTCTCCCAAGATGAACCCAATGGGTCTAACGGCATGGTAGTAGTCTTAATAGGTGCTAATTGTGGATTTTTATTCTGCAAATCAGCAATATTGTTTAATTCGGAACCAATCCGAATAATGTCTTGAACATATGCATACAGAGGGAATACGGAATCACTATTATTCAGCTCGGGGAAAACTGTAAGCTTGTCCTCTGAGTCTCAACGACGGTGGTTGAATTGAAACCACTAATTGACAAGTTAACGGGCTCCCCTACTAAGCCGAGACGGTTAAGGAGTGACGAAGACACCCAAGAGTGAGTCGATGCACTATCACAAATCAGGAGACTAATTACATCCGAGGATACAAC